CCTCCTCCTCCCTCCTCCTCATCATCCTCCTTTTCCTCCTCCGTTTCCTACTTCTCCTCCTCGTCCTCCTCAACCTCCTCCGCCTCCTCCTCCTCCTCCTCCCTCATCCTCCTTTTCTCCTCCTTGTCTTCTCCTTTTCTCCTCCTCCTCCTCGTCTTCCTCCTCCTCCTCCTCCTCCTCCTCCTCCTCTTCCTCCCTCCTCCTCCTCATCCTTCTTCTCCTTGTCCTCCTCCGTTTCCTCCTCCTCCTGTTTCCCCCCCCCCTTTTCTTCTTCTTCTTCCTCCTCCTCCTCCTCCTCCTCCTCCTCCTCTTCCTCTGACCCCCTCCCGACCTTCTCTGGCATCCGCCCCTCCTCCGCGTCCTTGTCCCTCGCGTCGTCCTCCTCGGCCTCCACATTTGGCAGTCTTCCTCATCATCCTGCTCCCCCTCTTGACGCGCCGTCAGAAAGCGAGGAGCGTTGCCACTGCACTCGTGGATCTCTGCATGCTCCTCCGAACGCTTCTTCTCTCTTCTCCCCTCCCCGTTTTCCTCCATATCCCTTCATCATCCTCCTTGCGTCCTCCTCCGCGTTTTCCTCCTCCTCCTCCTCCTCCTCCTCCTCCTCCTCCTCCTCCCCCTCCCCTTTCCTTCGCCTTTCAGCCGCCTCCTTCCTCCTTCTCCTCCCCCCCTCCTTCTCCTCCTCCTCCTCCTGCTCCTCCTCCTCCTCATCATCCTCCTCACTCGAAGAGGAGGTGTTCGCTGCCGTATTGCTCGCAGCTCCCCAGCGTACCTGATACTGTAGTGGGTGGAAAAGGACCGCCTCTCTGCTATCTCTCATGTTACCAATGCTGCCATGTTTTTTACCTTTCACCACTGCCACCCGCAGTTCTAGCTGGTAGCGGAGCTGGGAACGATTCCAGCGCGCGACCTACGGGATTGTGTACATGGCGAAGTGGACGCGCATTCGCACTCTCCCCAATGTCGTCATTGGTATACCGATTCCCGTCCCACGAACAGCTTGTGCTTATGGTTGTTTTGCAAAGCATCTTGTACTTCGTCCTGGACGCTCACAGGCTGCGATGACGACAACCTCCGTGCCGTATGAGACGTGCGAGGGCCCAGCTGCGCACGGCAACAGCAGCCGCAGGCGTGTTCACGTTGTGGGGCGACTCGCCCACGGGAGCGCCACGACTTTCCCCGACCCATCGCACCCCGCAGGCACTGGCCGCAGCTTCGCGCCGGGCATGACTGCGAGGCTCCTCCCTGGGCTGGTGCCGTGCTCCGTGATGTGTGCGACATTGCTTGCTGCCCTTGCGAGCACGTCGCGCCACTCGAGTGAGGCACTGAACGCGAATGCACCTATCTCACCACAGTCGGCATCAGTCAAGGTCGACGGCACTACTACGGATGCCACCTGCTTCAACATGGTGTTTGTCCCTGCGCATGCCCGAGCCCCAAGGCGCTCCCGCAGCTCACATCGTGGTGGAGTTTCATCGTGGAGGATACCCATCTTGGCGCTCGGGGCCAGCGAGCCACTCATCACCAACATGATGTCGCCGATGAATGTACTTGTCCCGACTGGACCGCAGCGGGCCAGACACGCATCCGGCGAGGGCTGCAGACACCACGTTCAAATGCGGCCGGCACGTCGGCTACGCTACGACCCTTGCTCAAGTGGGTTCTTCGTCTCATCCGCCACATCGACCAGTTCGGCAACTACGAGCTGCCGTACTTCTTTGTATTCTGTCTCTTCGTCAACGCGGACGTGGCGGGGACCTCGCTACCATCTGCGGCAGCACTCTTCCAGGATGAGGCGTCCAGGCATTTGGTTGGCACCCACTGCTGTCGCGCCGCGCGCTGCCTGGAAGCCTCGGCGCATGCCCTTTCCCAAGGAACAGGGAAGTGACCACTTTTCGCGCTGCGCCGCGCGCGGCCCTGGCCACGACCTCCTGCCACCTTCGCCAACGGCGCGCCGCCCGCCCACTAGGGCAGCAATGTTAAGTGCGATTGACGGACAATCGGGGCAGAGCTGCGCCATTCACATGGCAACGAGACCTGGCATCCCACGCGGTTGTTCACGCGGTCCGCCCTGGCGCTTGGACGCGCGATGCGCAGAGTGCGCAGCTTCAGCGCGCTGACGCGTTTGTTGCGCCTTCAGCCGCCAGATCACGTTTACGCTATGCGCTGTGCCATTCGTTCTCGGCACTCGGCCGCGCGGCAATCTGCGCACCCTCTGCCGCGGCAGCTTCGGGGTGAAATGCGCGCGCGTGTCCCTTCAGTGGCAACTGTCCCACTATTCAGGGCTTGTTGGTGGGGGGCGCGCCTGCGCGTTGCCAGTGCGCTGCGGTGCAGCCCTTGCGGCGCGCGCTACCTGCGTGCGCCCGCGCGCTGCTCGGCGCGCCCAGGGCGCTGCCTATGCCCGGCGATGCAGCTGCGCAAGCACAGCGCGCCATGCCTTGGCAGCCCCAGGCGTCGCGCCGCGCGCGCCGGGGCATGGTCGGCGCCCGGCGGCGCCAGCGCGCGCGACGCGCAACGCCCGCGCGCCTTGCAACGCGCGTTGAGCAGCCGGTCTCTCAACTGCGCGCTGGAGCGCGCGCAAATGCAGAGGCATGCCACGCTTGTGCTCAACAACGCACTTTGCCACGCATGCCGGGGCGCCGTTGCGCCCGGCTGCGCGCCTGCCCGCGCGCCGGCTCGAACCACCTCACAGAGTGCCTGCTGGCACCGATGTTGGTTCTCCCAACCGCGCTCAGGCTACCATCGGCTACGTCATGCGGGATTCAGCTCGCAGAGAGACTTCCTTGTGCGGGCTGGGCCAGCCGGCATGCGATTTCAGCCCGTGCGCATGTATATTAGAATGCGAGCTTTTCCCTGCGTCTCTACCTCAATCAACCTGCTCAGCCACATCACCGCATCAGTAAATCGGAACAGATACGGCGCGTGCCAGCCGACGCGGGCAGTGCTACCTCACTGCGCGCCGCATCTCAGCTGTGCATTCACCACTCGGCGCGATTGACCTCCTGCATGCAACCTGCAGTGGGCCCGGCACTTGACGCGTCCAGCACGCCGTCGCCTGCTGGGCCGCCGCCCAGCGGAGGTCGCCTCCATTGAAGTCTCGCTGGCCGACTCAACGGCTTGGCCCCCCTCGCCAAGAGCGCGCCCTGTCAGTCCGCGCCGCTTGCGGTCTGCGCCTGTAGTCGAGTTGGTGCCTGACGATCCAAAGGGTCGGGCTCCGCAGAGCTCTCCGCCACTTTTCCGACGGGCCGCGTCGTCGTTTGCTGGGCCGCCAAGTCCACGCAGAGTTGGCCGTAACTCGCTTGTCCTGTGGAGCGCGATCCTTGGTTTGGAACCGAAGGATCTGATTCGGATCTTCGCCGAAGTATTTCACAGCGCGCGCGTTCAGTTCTATTGGGTAGCACGCGGAGTCATTTGTCACGTTTGTCTTCTGTTTGGACTGATATGGTGCATGTTTGCTGACTATCCCGGTCGCTTCGTCTTCAGCTTGCGCGTTCGTTTCCGTGCTCATGTTCATGTCGTTCGACATGTTATTTCCAGTTTCTTGCTTCCTCTTTTGTCGCTTTCGTCTACGCGCAGTGCGCCGCGTTCTGTAGGCACCTACGACGCTGCGCCGTTGTTGGCCGCCTCAAGACAGCAGTCAGCGCACGAGCGCGCGGACCAGTCAACAACTGTGATTAGCAAGCGTTAGCGACCAGGGGCGCACTTCCTCAAACAGCTGGACGAGCTGCATCCGCGCGCGCGACACACAAGGCGCGCGGGTGCTCCCCAGCTGCGCAGCCGCGCGCGCGACGCAGTGGCAGGCTGCGCCCGCGGGCACGCAGTCACATACTAATGCCGAGGGCGGCGAGCGGCCACGCCAGCAGTGTACCGGAAACGGAGCTTGTGAGCAAACCTGGCTGGAAGGCACGATCGGTGCTGCGGCTCGAGCGCACGCCGGGCACGATCTGCGCCGGGCCCCCACGAGCAAACGCTCCCGGCTGCGAGGCAACACCAGCCGGTCGCACTGGGCGAAGAGCTTGTCCCTGGTCTCTGCCGGTGGCGGGGGTCAGCTCAGCTCATCTCGCGTGCGAGTTGACCACGAGCGAGCTGGCAGGGCTCCCAGAGTTCACAAGACTCCGTTCGGGTTGAGGCTCTGCCGGGCGTCCACTGCAAAGGGCACGCGGTGAATGTTCTCGCATCTCATTGCGGGTGGCCCCTTGTGGCCGAAGTGTCGCAGAGGGGCATTCCCCATTGCCCGGTAGCCTCGATTCGAATAGGAGGGGTCTGCGGCCCTATTGCTCACAGCTGGCCAGCGTACCAGATACTGCAGTGAAAGGGAAAGGACCGCCGCTCTGCTATCTCACATGTAGCCATTGTCGCCATGCCATCTACTTTTCACCACTACCACTCGCAATTCTAATTCCTCCTCCTTCTCCCTCCCTCCCTCCCTCCCTCTCTCCCTCCCTCCCTCCCCCCCTCTCTGTCTCCCTGTTCTCTTCTTCTTGTCCTCTTCCTCCCTCCCTCCCTCCCTCCCTCTCTGTCTCTCCCTCCCTCCCTCCCTCTTCCTCCTGTCCTCTTCCCCTTGCCCTCCTCCCCCCTCTTCCCCCCTCCCCTGGGGAGGCGTCCCGAGCTCCTGCGGCGACTGGGACGTCCGGCTGACCGGCCATGACGCCGACGGCGTGGCCGTGCGGGGCAGGCCCGAGGTTTTCCTGTCAGGCCGCGCGCCGCGCGCGCGCCGCGCCTCCCGGGGGGAGGGGGGGCCCTCAAAGAGGACGACGACGCTGAGGAAGAGGAGGAGGAGGAGGAGGAGGAGGAGGAGGAGGAGGAGGAGGAAGAGGAGGAACAGGAGGCTGAGGACGCTCGGGCCGCGCGCGCGCTCGCTGCGTCTCGCGGGGGGGCTGGCCCTTTGAGGACCCTGCAGGGCAGGACGACGACGACCCCCGCATCCGATGATTGGCGGTTTTCTTCAAGCCGGGTGTTTTTTGTCCGAGATTTCGGCCTGCGGGGTCGTTCTCGGGCCAGGGGGCCATCAAGCATGGATCCGCCACGCAAAGCTACCTCTGGTGATGGGGTCCAGAGTTTCGGTGCCGCGGGCTGGGAAAACATAACTGATGGTATATGATGCCGCTGAGGAGGAGGAGGAGGAGGAGGAGGAGGAGGAGGAGGAGGAGGAGGATGTGGAGTAGGACGACGAGGAGGAAGAGGAGGAGGGGGAGGGGGAGGAGGAGGAGGAGGAGGAGGAGGAGGAGGAGGAGGAGGAGGAGGAGGAGGAGGAGGAGGAGGAGGAGGAGGGGGAGAGGAGGGAGGGGGGGGAGGAGGAGAACGGGCACGAGGAGGAGGAGGATGAGGAAACGAGGGGTTCGGGAGGGAAGGGGTAGGGAAGCGGAGGATGAGGATGATTCAGATTGTGGGATACGGGGAACGGAATGGGACGATGATGCTGCTGACGATGACGACGATGATGATGATGTTGATGCTGATGCGGATGTTGCTGCTGACGGCGATGACGATGATAATGGTAATGATGAGGAGAATGAGGACCAGTATAAACCCAAGATGCGTCACACACGTTGCGAGAAACCCTCACCCCGAAATCCCTCTTCGTAGGTCCCTACGCGACTTGTTTTTCACAGCGGGAGAGGGGACCTGTTGGAAGACAACCGTCTGAGAGAATCCCCAGCCGCGCCAAAATACGATTCGTTTTACTTCGACACCGCGAATCAATGTTACTGCTGCGTCCTCACGATCCTGCATCGTGCTAGAACACCGTTACAGGACTTCAACACAGCGTGTCAACGTTTCTGGTGCGCCCTGACAGGCCTAAACTGTGCAAGAACGCCGCTCCTGGGACGTAAACCATAAGAGTACTTGAAAGTGTTGTAGAGCCCGTGCAATTTTTTTAGACAAATGTACGCGAAGCTAAGGCGAGACCAACATTTGAAACCGACCCGCCCTCCATCCGCGAAGCTTTTGCAATTAAATTCTGTAAGGGGAACGTGCGCGGCGCTGAGGCGAGCGCCGCATTCTGAGAACGATTCGCCCCGCTTCCGTGAGGATCCTGCAGACTTTCAAGACGAACGTGCGCGGCGCTGCGGCGAGAGCCACACTCTGAAAACGATCCGCCCTCCACCCCTGAAGCCTGTGCAGCAGTTGCAGACGAGCGTGCGCGGCGCTCCGGCGAAGGCCACATTTTCTAAACCACCCGCCCTCCACCCGTGAAGCTGTCGCAAAGCTTAAGCTTCAGGGCTACAAATGGCGAGGAGGGCACAGGCGAAACGCCCAGGGTGCTCTCCTCGGTCCTCCTCCTCCTCCTCCTCCTCCTCCTCCTCCTCCTCCTCCTCCTCCCCCGCCTCCTCCTCCTCCTCTTCCTCCTCCTCCACCTCCTCCTCCTCCTCCTCCTCCTCGCCGAGGGTGATCGGACCGAGGTATAAGATCGGGGTCGGTTCGGGAAGGGTACCCTGGTGTTCTTCGTGTTGTGGTGGATGTTCTTGGGCATCCCCGGGGGAGGGTGCCCTCGAGCGATCTTCTGGTTTGGGGTGCGGGACTCATGGTCTTGAAGGTTGTTTTTCTGTCCTAGGTCCGACGGTACGGACACGTCTTGGCGTGCGACGGGAAGGATTTGCTTTTTCAAGGAACAGGGATGGAGGAGGACGAGGAAAAGCAGGAGGACGAGGACCACGAGGGCTGGGCCGAGGATGAGGATAAGGATCAGGGTTAGGATGATGATGATGATGATGATGATGATGATGATGATGATGATGATGATGATGATGATGATGATGGTGATGATGATGATGACGACGATGTCGATGATGATGATGACGATGATATGATGGTGATGATGATGATGATGATGAAGATGATGATGATGATGATTATTATGATCATGATGACGATGCTGATGATGATCATGATGATGATGATGATGATGATGATGATGATGATGATGATGATGATGGTGATGATGATGGTGGTGGTGGTGGTGATGATGATGATGATGATGATGATGATGATGATGATGCTGCTGCTGCTGATGATGATGATGATGATGATGATGATGGTGTTGAAGATGGTGGCGGTGGTGGTAATGTCGGTGGTGGGGATGATTATGAGGATGAAGATGAGGATGAGGAGGAGGGCCAGGAGGCGGAGGAGGAGGAGGAGACTTTAGAAAGAAGGAGCAAGGGAGGAGGAGGAGGAGGCGGAGGAGGAGGAGGCGGAGGAACAGGAGGAGATGTTGAGACTACTGATAGCAAGCTCAGGAAGCAAGATTGGAAAGGCAAGTGCTCTGAGGCCATTCGCACCCAGTCTGGTGGCATGTCCGCTGGCACTCCTCACGGCAGTCTACACGCACAGTGGGTTGTCTGTTTGGGAGATGGCACCGTCATGCACGTTGGAGGGTTACTCCGAGGAGGGTTCTTGGCGTGCACCGCGCATCTCCACACCTCGGTCGGCCCCTCGCCCGCCACGCGGGACAGCTTGTGCAGACTCGGAGCGGCCCTCGAGGTGGCCAACTTCCCAGACGTCGCCGTGGGGGATTTCAGCATGGAGCCACATGAAGGATTTCGGAAACCCCTTTCTGTCCCAAAGTTGGTAAAGTTGTCATCTCTTGGTTCGGCGGAAGCCGGCGGAAGGCCGACGGAAGGAGGCGGAAGTAAAACATCCGATGTGGGGGGCGGAAGAATAAGACGAGGGGGTGAGAAGGGCGGAGGGTGTAATACCATGCCGTCTACCACGGCCAGGACATATTATGTCTTGGCCGTGATAGACGGTATGTTATTACACATTGAGGCTCGCACTTGCGCGCTCCCGCCAACCGAGTGGCCGATTGTGTGATTGCGTGCAGAGAGTGGGCTGATGCAGCAGCTGTCTCGCAGTTGCCCGGTGTCTCGCTCGCTCCCCACACCGCCATCCAGTTGAAGCTACCCGCCATGGAGAAGATCCCCATGGTCAGGATGGCCGAGGTGCCCCGCAGGTTCCCTCGTGAGATGCCCATTTGATGCCGCCCTGAGCCCAACAAGGCCGGCTGGGAGGTTGCTGGAGCCGTCATTGAGAATGCTGATGTTGGGAAGTCTTTGCAGGTCTTTGTTTCAGCTGCTGAATTGGATTGGGTTGACATCTTTCAAATACTCCCAGGGCTGGCCAAGCCGTATCTGCGGAGGGGAGGGGACATTGAGGTTGGGCGGCATAAGCTTGCTAAGCCTGCACTGTTTTTTTTCTCGAGGTGTTCGCCCAAAGCGGTTTGGTGGAGGACCCTGTCGGTGATCTTCAAGGCTCTCACGAGGCCCGTCACGTACGTTCAGGAACAGGAGGTTTGACGTCGAGCCCGTGCTCTCCAAGGGTCCCCTTACGTTCCTGATAGTAGCCTCGCGCTGCTATTCCAGAAGGCTCCCGATCGCATCTGGACGTGCGGTGACCGCGTCCTCGATTTTCATCGCCACCGTCTCCAGCGAGCACGCGGAGCTCGTGCACCGGCAGGCTGCGCAGCTCAACAGGTAGTCAGCTTGGGCAAATGGGCCACGGGCCACACGCTCGGCGGAACCGCCGCCTCGTTCGAGGATGTGCAGCTGCCAGACCCACGGCAGCCCTCCACCCTCGACTCCGTCACCCTCCGCCCCTGCACCAGCACGGGGGATATGGATGCGCTTGGGATAAGAGTGGAGTCAATGGCAGCAGGTGGGGATCGAGCGGGCCCCGATCGAGTGGCCCCAGGACCTGGGATGCCGACCTGCTCCCCCCACCCTCAAAGAGATGAACAACAAAGTTGATGACGTGTCCGATGGGCACAGGTTGTGGGTACGACCAAGTCCCACCCAGGACGTTGCTGCTGCTTCCAGACGAGGCGGTCAGCCTCCTCAGCACCATCGTTGCTAGCATCGAGAAGCAGGCGAATTCCCCCACCAACAATATGGTGTTCATACTAAAGCGATTGGGGGGAGTTCGCCCGCTAGGATTGTTATGCTGTCTCTGTCGTGTGCACAGCCGACTCCGTGGGCGCATCATCTCTGGATGGCAAGCTCGTAATTTCAGAAGTGCTTGTTAGAGCTCTCGGCGCAAGAGAGCGGACATGTGCGTGTACACGCAATTTCCATGGGTTGAGTACTATCACGCTAGTGGTGCGTCGTCGGCTACGCTTGTTTTAGATGTACAGAGGGCTTCCGAGCTCGTGACTCACCACCACCTCATCGAGGCGGCCCAGTGCTCAGGCTTTCCGCTTCGGCAGCTGAAACTGTTCGCATTGGTGCATCGACCTCCGCGTTTGCTAAATCTCCAGGGTACTGTCAGTAACTGCATCAAAGCTGAAGTTATGATACTTCATCTGCCCGGACCACTCGACATAGTGCAGCGTGAGTGCCGCACCGTGTCAATGTCTGTCGTAGACTGCTCGGGCGACCGCCACGCTTGCCCGAGCACGTCCACGGATGCTGACCCGATTGATGCCCATATCCCATGGGCGCGAAAGATAGATATGGTGGTACAGTTAGCTCGCAAACACGAGCCGCTCTGAAGCACGTGTCTGCAAGCTCAGGTACCCACCTGACCCATAAAGTCTGAGGAGATGAGGGGGAGGAGGAGGTGGGAAGAAGGAGCAGAGTATGATAATGATGATGTTGATGATGATTATGATGATGATGCTGATGATGATGCTGATGACGATGATGATGCTGATGCTGATGCTGATGCTGATGCTGATGATGATGATGATGATGATGATGATGATGATGATGATGATGATGATGATGGTGATGATGATGATGATGATGATGATGATGATGATGATGATGAACATGACCATGATGATGATGATGATGATGCTGATGATGATGATGATGATGATGAACATGATGATGATGATGATGATGATGATGATGCTGATGATGATGATGATGATGATGAGGGGGAGGATGAGGAGGAGGAGAGGAGGCGGAGGAGGAGGAGGAGGAAGGAGGAGGAGGAGGATACGGAGGGACGTGGGAGGAGAGGAGGAGGAGGAGGAGGAGGAAAACGAGGGATGGAGCAGGAG